TCATAGTCTCACTTACATGCTGTTGCACTTGTGTGCGTGCACACACACATACACAGTGCACAAAACAGAGGTTATAAACTAAAGTGCAAAGTAAGACTTGTTAAATTTATGTTTGAAAGAGAACTACAAGAGTCAATTACATTTGATTAATAAACCTAAACTCTGGGTCATCTGTACAGGCTACACAGCAACTTTAAGGATAAAAAAACTATTTTTAAACACATCATAAACGGGCATGCATGATTACAGTCATGTGGGATCCTTTTTGGCTGTTCCTGGACCTCCAAGACCATCGATGCCATCAACACTGTACAGAATAAATTGAACATCTTTTCTGTCCACTGATTAATAATTTAGTAAGCCAGTTTTTGTAGAGATAGTTGTACATAAATTCAATCGATTAAGCCTTTAATGAAAACAAAATTACAATGTATTTTAATAAATAAGTGTAAAGATTTTGGAAATGACAGCTCTGTTTGAAAATCCACTACAAAAGTACAGGAAAAGGGCAATTTTCTTTTTTTTCCTGCCTCTGTTCCAGGATACAGTGTGCTGCTAAAGGACCATTAAAACTGAGAGGATGTCCTAAAATAGAGCCTTGACTCTTCTTTAAGAGCTGCTCTTTAAATATTATATCCATCCCACACTTTTTCTGTGGTTGAACTGACATCTGGAGTTTTTAAAAAAAAATCACTTTAAACACAGAAACAATAATTTTAACTGAACTGGCCTTGTCCTTGTTAACATCATCTGTATTTCTTCAGGTGATGTTCTGCTGAGCATCAACGGTGTTGATTTGACTCAGCTGACCTACAATGAGGCCGTTTCTGTGCTGAAGGCTCAGACAGCTCAGTCCCAGGTGGTGCTTCGTGTCATTCAGACTCTGTCTGAGGAGTCAGAGGAGGACACCGAGGCTAACGATGACGAACTCGACATTGCAGAAGACTCACGGGATGACACCCTCAACTGGACCCCGCTGTGGACTCGCTGGCTGGGATTACCAAGGTAAAGCCAACTCAGTATAATCATTTATATCATGGTCATAGTGCTGTTTGAGCTGTTTTTGCTTTATGTGAAAGAGCTGACTCTGACTCGTTTCTTCAGTCACATGCACTGGTGCCGGGACATCGTCCTGCAGAAGACCAACAACGAGAGCTGGGGCTTCAGCATCGTTGGGGGTTATGAGGAGAGCCACGGGCAGCAGCCGTTCTTCATCAAAACCATTGTGCCTGGAACACCGGCTCACTTTGATGGACGCCTCAAGTAAGTTAACCACATTTTGACTCCCATGTTACATCATCCGCTCCTGTATCTTTTTTGCACCGACCCTGATAACGAAAATGTCCTGTGGCTTTCTCAGGTGTGGTGATGAGATAGTGGCGGTGAACGGAGCTACAACTGTGGGAATGAACAACTCCTCTCTCATCCCAATGCTCAAACTACAGAAGAATAAAGTCACGCTGACTGTGGTGTCCTGGCCGGGAAGTCTAGTATAGCAAACCTCACGTGCTCATTCTGTGATCTCCTTTCTTTCTTTACTGGGAATCTCACTGTCCCTTCCACATGTAGCCCGTTGAGATTTTTGAGGTCATGTCATACACGAAGATGCGTGTTCTTCAAAACCATCCCATGTACAATAGATGATTTTCCATAGGTGGACTGTTTTTTGCGATATTGTCATGTAACAATGATGACAATCCATGAATTTTGTGCTAAAGACAAACTGGAAGGATTCGGTTTTTTTGGAGTGTCTTTCTGATCCCATTTTAAAGTTGTATGTATATTTTTAGCTTATCTGCCTAATGTTTTATTTGGTAGTGATTACATCTTAGACTGTGTATAAAAATGTAGCTTTAGGGTCTGCAAAGTGAAACTAATGCAGAAGTGCCTTCTTTCTAATGACCTGCAGGGGACGACTTCGTTGGTTGCAAAAAGACATCCCGTTGTACAGAAGTCTATGGGAAGATGCCCCCTTTTCTATAACCTCAATAAACATTTTCCTTATGAGTTTATGATCTCCGTTGCTAGTTTTATGCCTTAATGAATATAGCATATAGTTCATCTTGTAAATTATCTTCTTATTTGGAGTGAAACAGGACGATAAAGCAGGGAACGCTTTAGAGCAGACCGGCCTTGTGACTGACAAGTGACTGAATGTGGAGTGTCCTGTGGATTTTCAGTCGGATCCTCACCTCACTCGTCACATCCAGTTATAAAAACCCAATATGGTGACCGCTATCCCCCTCAGCTCGAGTCTGCACAACGGGACTACGACACAACGGCTGCATCTATCCTTTGTATACAGCCTGTGGATGGTATTAGATGTTAAGTGATAATGAACATATGTACATAGTTGAATTTCGTTATTGTTAACAATATGCTGACACCAAATATTTCAGGAAAGTGAAGTCTTAAGTTGATTTAAATTGACATTTTTAATTTAAAATTAGCATCTACATGGAGAATATCAGCAGTGAGATTTTTTTTTCTTTTTTTTTTTGGGACAAAACAAATTTTAAAGGATTTTAAAATGTCAGAAATATTTGAAGTCTACATCATGACAGTAAAGATCACGCTTCTTTACTCAACAAATATGTGTAGAGCGTTTAGTCAGCATTGTGTTGCTAGGGGTTGGATCAGGTTTATTTCCTGTAAGCTCTAAACAGGAAACTTAGACCTGTGTTGTGAAACTCTTAAGCTGATTTAAAAGAAGCTAATAGATTATTTGACGACCGTTGAGTTTTAATCAAAACTTTCTAATCTGTATTCACTGAATTTGTGTATGTATATCATCTTTCCGTTTCTTTCCAAATGATAAAGTTGCTCATAATGAATGAGTTTAATAAGCAGGTGCCTTGTAGATATCAAAGGACAAACCAGAATCTATACTTGCCTTAAATGTTTTGCTCCACCAAAAATGTGTTTTCCTCATTATTTGTTCTTCTCAATATTTACTGTTTGTGGGAATTCAAAGCCTTGCTCTGATAGATCTGTGTCGACACATTCCCGGTGGCCTTTTATTGCATCTTTATAGGTGAGATACCTGTTGAAAAGCTATGGATGGCTGTAAAATTTACAGCAGGTAATGTGTGTATTAGCCTGTCCACCGTTTCATTATGTTCAATAAAATCATGAAACCATTCCGTCTTTCTGTTATGAATGTTCTGTACACTTTGGGCTTTTTGGGGAGGAAGGTTAAGTGTAGTAAAGGCACAGCTTTACAAGCCACCCTTTATTTATACTTGATGACGGATGGGTAGTTTAGAGGGGATTATAAATACACCAGTATTCACAGAGGAAGGGTGCAAATGTTAGAAATAAGTTATTACAGTTACTGATGTTGAAAGTCTGTGGCTGGACGGTTTATTAGCCTGTTCACTCTGACCCCTAGTGGACACAAGGACTGAAGTGGCCAATGTTTCCAGATTCCATCCTGTAAAACCTTTAAAGTAACCATGGTATCCATGAATTAAAAAAAATAAAACTATTGTAATTAATAATAATAATAAATTGTATTTATGAGCGCCTTTCAAGTCACCCAAGGACACTTTACAATAGGATAAAACACTTAGTAAAACAATGGCAGAATAAGAACAATAAAATACAGACTACCTTTTAATCTTGTGCTTTATCACAGGCCTGTTATGCAATTTTAAAATCATGCTCTGAAGTCCTCAACAGTGATTTCTCACAATTATGATTTGCCAGTTCTCTCAAAATCTTCACTTCATAAGCATTTACATACCACCAACTTACCGTATTTCCCGGACTACAAAGCGCACCTGAATATTAGCCGCACAAGCTAAAATCAGGGGAAAATCCTGTTTTGTACATACATTAGCCGCACCTGACTAAAGCAGTGGGTGTTTCAATGTTGACTTATCATATGTAAGAGAATATGCACAAAGGGAATTGTCAGGAAAGAGATGGCTGTTTGGAGACACACCCCTTTTATTAATATTTTGAAAAACAAGTTATGGGTACATATTTGCACAACTTTTTAGGTATATGTAAAAGTAGCGGTAATTACAAGTACGAAACATGTACTGTGCTTCATAAATGAGTAACAAATGTAGTACATAACAATAACCTACAGCACACCAGAAAAATAGATTCGGACTACCTTTTAGGCTCAAGAAAAGTCAGTCATTCACCACCATCTTCCTGCGCACTAAAACCACCAAAGTCCTCTTCTCCAGTGTCGGATACAAACAGGCTCAGGGTGGCTACGTCATCCACTCTCAGCTTCTTTCCTTCGTTGTCACTTACAAAACCAAAGAAATCCTCGTTGTCAGTGTCAGAGTCGAACACCCTCAGAAGGGCCGTGGCGGTGTCCTCCTCTCCATCATGCAGCAGTCCAGCCCTTCGAAATCCGTTGGTGATCGTGGATGTTTTCACACTTTTCCACGCTGTCAGAATCCACCGGTGGAGTTGAGCATGACTTGCTTTTCGCAAGTTTATTGCCGCTCGTCATCCACGCCTCCCGCTGAACGCGCAGCGCTACTTTGAAGTTTGTTTTTCGCGCTACTTGTACGGCACTATGTTGCCTGGCGGATGGACATGTGACCAACATACCACTCTTGAACCCCGATACTGTGTGTCTGATCACATGCCCTTCCGCCAGGCAACGTAGTGCCGTACAACAGCGGAACAAACAAAACAAATCGTCTTACGATATGACAGAAATCATGGACAATCCATAGAAAAGCCGCACCTGACTAAAAGCCGCAGGGTTCAAAGCTTGTGCAAAAAGTAGCGGCTTATAGCCCGACAATTACGGTGCTAGTTTTATTTCTGTCTATATTGTGAAGGTTAAATAAGTTTTAAATATATATAAATTGTCATTAAAAGCCTGATGTTTTAATCCCCAAAACCTAAATGTATCAGTATATTTACCACACAGGGAATCTACTGTCAGACTGTAGCATGTCCCCAAGTTTCTCATAATTTAAAAAAGCTTTTTAGGATGCCATATGTTGCAATACAATTGATATTTCTACTTCACACTACTGCAGCAGAAAAAGGTTACTGAACACTTCCTCGAGCTAAACCAGGAGAGGCTGTGAATGTGAAAACAAAAAGCACAGAGGACCATAAAACCCTCCACCCCAAAGTGAAGCCCACCACTACAGTACTTGTTGTGGTCACGTACAGTAGAAACTGTATGTTCGGCTTGCTGCCTGCTGGTCCGTGTCATTAGGAAGCAGCAGTACGTTATGGTAACAGCATTCCTGAGTTGTATATATGTTGAGTAATTGCAGGCTGTCTTGTTAAAGTTAACGATTCACCACCTTGTTAAACATGACAAACAGCCACATTTTTCATCGCGGGGCAGCAGGCTGTGGTCAAAGTGCATCAGCCAAGGTCAGTCACAACCCGCTTCTACCAACATGACACACCACAGGTTTCATAAGGGGGAAAAAAAGAAGGAAGTGGCAACAAATTAAATTCAAAATTGACAATTTATTTTCTCTCCATTGGGATTAGGTCACCATGATAAACACTTACAAAACAAAATGTAACAGGGACAATACTGGGAGCAGTAAACTCTCCTTTGTACAGGAGAACAGATTTCAACCTGCACTTCTCTGTGGTTTTCAACTATACCAGAGGCACTCTAATACAATGCAATGCAGCAATCTTTTGACTAAGATTCTGAAAAACAAAACCAACACTTGAAAGGATGAGTGAAACAAAGAAACCATCAGCTCAACACATCAGGATCTGTAGAAGCATGTGCTTCCTAACACTTCGGGAGGACCAAACACAGCACAGGGAAAAGTACAAAACTACAAAATTAATACAAAGTTAGTGGGGGTGGGAGAGAAATGAGTGGAAGTGCAGAGTTCAAATTCAAATCTTCCAATCATCTCCATCTTTAACGGATGACCAATCACTGAATGTCATCTTAATTGGCAAAAACCGCATGGTAACATGCACTGCTGTTGTCACCGGAAGAAAACTCAGGATCCACTCCAGTCTGAAATCCTGAACTTCATGTGCAACAATCAGTTTCAACTCTGGCATCAGGTACATAGTCACTATATGGCTTACAAGATAAACAGGTCCATATAAACTAGAAAGGTATGTAGACATCTTTCATAATCAAAACTAATTTACAGCAATATATTGGCAAAAAAAACTAAAGAGCTAAGTAACTTTATGTAAACAATGGTATACCACTGTACAGCTTATTCTAACATGGTATTTACAGGTCAAGTTCTTACTAGCTAGTTCCCATGTACAGAGGGTTCTTGTAAGGACAAAACACGGGGTGATGACGTACACTGTACGTTAGGCAATCTCAACCATCCCATCTACCTGCAAAGAACTGGATTAAAAGAGGGGAAACCCAACAAACAGCATCTGAGCCTACAGACTTGTTGAATTACCCAAAGCCTTCCTCCTCCTGTTACATGTAGTTTCTATTTTTTTAAATCATACATAAGGCAAGGATAGTTACGGAAGGTGGAGGCATCACATTCTTTGCGAGGGATTAGTGATTTAATAGATGGGATACAGGCTGATGGTTCTTTGGGGTAAATGCACTTTTTGAGAGAATCACTTGTTTTGTTTTTTTTCTCACATGTAACAAAAACACATCAGATTGCAACAAAGGGAACATGTGTAGTTCTGTCGGGAAATGTGCAAAATCTGCTCTAAAGCAAAGTGACAGTGTTGCAAATTTTAATGTACAAGGTACTGGGAGATTTACAGGGTCGTCACGAGACACAGCGGCGCAGACCCTTTTTTCCAACATACTGTATATACAAGGCACTAAGGATAAGATTCAAGGGCCACTCATCCAGTCTGGCAACGGCCTCGTCAGTCTGGTCGGAATATAGGATATTTGGGTAGGAATTCTATAAGAATCACCTGAAGAGAGGAAAAACACAATTTCGCAAGGTTAAAATCCAACTGTTTTCACCAGAGCACAAACATTACTAGTTACTTAACTAATCTCTTTATTACACAGACAAAGACAAAGTAATCAAAAGTTTAAGTTTAAGTAAGAGATTTGAGTTTCTCTGGATTTCTCTGAAAATCAGCTGCGGGATCACTCACATACATGCGGCCTAGCAAATCATTTAAATCAGCGGGGGTTGGTTACATAGGAAGAAAACCTGTCAAAGCAATGACGACCAGCAGCACCACAAACAACACACACCACCTCTCTAAAACTGTTTCAACAGTAACTACACATTACAACCTTCATGAAGGGAGGATTTATAACACAATGAATGTATTTGGCTGCATTTAATTACGCCAAGTTACTACATAAACAGACAGACTTTATACGTCATATATTTTTCTTGACTTTTATATTTACATTTAGTTGGAGCTGGAAAGGTGGTACTAAAAACCAACTAATTCCTCATTTACTAAGTACAAACTTTCTTTTTTACTTTGAAAGTTTCTACAAATTCACAATTAAATATCAGTTCATTCTAGCAAAGCACTAGAAAATGA